TTCATTGGTAACATAATACTGTATATTTGTTTCCCCTGATTTTAATGGTACAATTAATTTCCTTTCATCATTAATTTTTAAAACGTCAAAACGTTTTAATCGTCTGTAATCCAAAGGTGTGTTGCACTTAGTTTTAGCAGAAACCACTTCAGAAAGTATTTTAGAGTACTTTTCTTGAGAAAAATAAAAACAATTGTCTTCTCGTTTACCCGCAATTAATGCATTTAACTTTTCAAGAAAAAGATCACGATTTACTGCAGTATCCATTCAGTACAAATTACGGTATTGGAAAAAAAATTAAGAAAACGTTGCTCGCATCATCAAAGCTTGCATAAGATGGCAAAGCTGACTGACTCCCAGCAGAACACAGGATTTGGCGGGAGAGAGCCAGTCGCTTCTTTGTCGGCTCCTTTCTTTTGGACCTCCACCAGAGCATATCTGTGATTGTCGACATACACCGGCGAGGGTCCGAATGTACAAGAATGTAATAAAATATTCGGTCTTTCACGGCAATATATGTAATTAGATATATTTATTGCATAATTCTTCTTAATCTAGTATATTTTCCCAGAAATCGATAACATAGTCGAAAACGTGGATAACACGACGAAAATGCGATAAGCAAAAGAGGCAAACATGACCTGCACGATATATAATTAAAATAGTGCAACTTTGTTAAGTCCCGTACGAAATGCAATTATCCTGCATTACGCTTTGCGCGTGAATCATTTTCATTTAAATCGCCGTAATTCCTGTAAAATTTCAATCCGACGTCGGTCCATCGAGTTACAATCACCAATACAAAACGTGGGTACGCAGATTCTAGCGACGATTTGTAATTCGTCCGAAAATTAATCAGCGATTCGAGCATTTTCAATAAATTTCTGGCGATCGAGTTCAATTATTTGTCTCTGAAACATTGATTACACGTTTGTTGCGATTATAAAATTTTCCACTTGTAGTGGTTTTAAATGAATTATTTTAATGTACATAATCAAATGATCAGATGTAGTTTTTGGCAAAAATTTTATGATTTTGGAGTTCGGGGATTTGCAATTTTCGAAATTTGAGAGATTGAAGAGTTGGTGGATTTTAAACTTCCGAATTTCTGGGTTTTTAGATTTTTGCAATTTTCAAATTTTTAGATTGACAGATTTTCAAGATTCTAAATTTCCAAAGTTTTAAATTTCTCAATTTCCCAAATTCCCAAATTCCCAATTTCCCAATTTCCCAAATTCCCAATTTCCCAAATTCCCAATTTCCCAATTTCCCAATTTCCTATTTTCCCAAATTCCCAAATTCCCAATTTCCCAATTTCCCAATTTCCTATTTTCCCAATTTCCCAAATTCCCAATTTCCCAATTTCCCAATTTCCTATTTTCCCAATTTCCCAATTTCCCAATTTCCTATTTCCTATTTTCCCAAATTCCCAATTACCCAACTTCCCATTTTCCCTATTTCCCATTTCCCCAATTTCCCATTTCCCCAATTTCCCATTTCCCCAATTTCTCATTTCCCCAATTTTCCATTTCCCCAATTTCCCCAATTTCCCAAATTTCCACTTCCCCAATTTCCCAATTTCGTATTTCTCCAATTTCAAAATTTAAATTTGCTAATTTCCCAATTTTTCATTTTTCCAATTTCAAAATTTTAATTTCCCAATTTCCTATTTTCTCAATTTCTCAACTTCCCAATTTCAAAATTTAAATTTGCCAATCTCCCATTTTCTCAATTTCACAATTTAAATTTCCCATTTTCCCAATTTCCATATTTCTAAACCTCTAATTTGAATTTCCCGCCAATTTACATTACACACCCTCGCGCCATAAACAAACCCTCCTCCCCTTACTTAAATACAAAAAAGGAATGCGAAGATATTAAACAAATGTCCATAAATATATTCAAGGGACAAATAGGTCTCAAAATCCAGCCGGAAACTTGTGAGAAAATCGAAGATCGTTTCGTCGAACAGAAAGACGCAGAAATACGAAAGGAAAACGGGCGTCGAAGCGGAAACTGCGGCACGTTTAATGGAAGACGGACGAAACTAGCCGGAAGAGAGCCCGTGGGACGGAAATCTATTGCAAAATAATAAGTTATCCGTGGGGCGACTTTTGCCGACGTGTCGTCCGTGGTTGGCTTTTCCCCGGGGTTACCTCATTATTTCTAACTGATGACACCATAATTCAGCTCCTCGCGACAAGAAAATGGACTTTCTGCCGTACGTTTTTGACGTTCTCGACTGTACTGTAATATAAGTGCAATTCTTATTGTTTTGTAGGGTACACATTCCTCGATGGATATTTAATTATGATTATTTTGCAACGATTAACCCTTTGCGCTCGAGAGGCACCTCTTAAGCGCCATTCGATTTAATACAATAATTTAAAAGAAGCATTATTTAATTAATTCTATAATAGTGCTTATGTATAAACACAGTGAAATAGATAATAGTGGAAATTATTAGTAGAGAAATAATCGCTTCAAAAGAAGTCATTTAACATTTTATTTAATATTTTAAAGTTGCTGTTTGCAAACTGTAAAATTATCTTCGAGTGCAAAGGGTTAATATATGCACATGGACACTTTCATTTTGTTATTAATATCATAAATTATTAATGTGTTATTAATCGGTAAAATAATAAATTACTCAATTTTTTACTATATGCAGTGCTTGATTTACAAATTACTATCATTTTTTAGAATTCTTCAAGTTTTCCATAAAGTAGCATAGAGGAATAATAGAGTAGTGGTATAGTGACATAGTTGTATAATAGCATGGTAGTAAGGTGGTATGATGGTATGATGGTATGGTAGTAGGATGATATGGTGGTATAGTAGTATAGCAGGATAGTAGTATACTTGTATAGTGGCACAGTAATGTAGTAGTATAACAGTAAAGTCCTGAATACGTCCAAAGTGCGTCACGAGTGAGCCATGAGTACGTCACAAGAATTACAAATGCGTCATGAGTGCGTCACAAGTATCACGAGTATCGCAAGTATGACATGAGTGCGTCACAAGTATTACAAGCGTGTCATGAGTGCGTCACGAATCTGCCCTGTATGCGTCATGAGTGCGTCACAAGTATTACAACTGTGTCATGAGTGTGTCACGAATCTACGCGGAATGCGTCATGAGTGCGTCACAAGTATTACAAGTGCGTCACGAGTGCGTCACGAATCTACCCGGAACGCGTCATGAGTGCGTCACAAGTATTACAAGTGCGTCATGAGTACGTCACGAATATATCCTGAATGCGTCACGAGTGCGTCACGACTCTATCCTGAATGCGTCACAAGTATTACAAGTGCGTCACGAATCTGCTCTGAATGCGTCATGAGTGCGTCACGAATCTGCTCCGAATGCGTCATGAGTGCGTCACGAATC